AAAAAAAAATATCTATTCAATGACTGCAGTATGATATATAGCCCCAGCTAGGTGCTACTTTATAGGATGTTCATTCTACTCATTGAGGCTTATGCCTAAAGTTGGACTTCTGTTCATAGAAATGTATATATCAGCTGTGCTTGCTATGAAAATATTTAGATTAATTAAGATCTTTAGTGACTCTATAGAATGTAGGGGAAAACAGTATAGAAAGCAAACATAGATACCAGAGACAGTGTGGGAGGAGAGTGGGAAATGGCAGAGGGTAAGAGATAGGGAATCAAGGACGAGGGAAAAAAAAGGCAAAACATACAGGAAACAAAAAATGGAAAATTACTTGTTGACGATAACATGTATGCTGATGTGCTTGACTGAGCCAATATACAGTGTACTCTGGATGGAAAATCTCATTTTGTATGTTGTAATGATGTACAGTGAATGAATGTAAATAAATAAATTTTTTAAAAAAGAATTATTTTATTTAACTTCATTTATTTATTTATTCATTTTAATTTGACCAGAGAGGGACAGACCAAGAAAGAGAGAGTAGGAAAGTGAGAAAGCAAGCTGCCAGATCCAGGACTCAAACCATGGTCGGCTACGTGGGACTCCAGTGCCCTTAACCACCACGCTACCTGCCTGCCCCAATAAAATGGTATCTTTACAGTCAGCTCATATTAGAACACAGAATTTCAAAGAAAATTAGTATAACTTTTTTTCCTTTAGAATGCACATGGCCTTATTTTTGCCCTTAAATGTGCTTGTTAACTTCTACAACTTTTGGCTGGTTGGTGTGAAATATACAGAGCTAGAAAAGAAAGTAGCATGGGACCAGCAGATAGTGTAATGGTTAAGTCGCTGGACTCCCACATAATCAACAGCTGTTCGAGTCCCAGACGCAGCGGTTTAAAACTCATGCTGGGAGCATGTGTGTGTGCGTGCAAGCCCAAAATCCCAAGAGAGAATGGAGGAGAAGGGACTGTGGCATGGCCATACCCCCGGATGATGATTTCTCACTTTTTGTCTCTGTCTCCCAGATAAGTACACACACACCCTATAGCAAAAAAATCTCTCTCTTAAAAAAGTAGCATTACTGAAATAGCAGGTGTCCTTCATAATAAAACAAGAATTAAAGAAAACATTTATTTGCCATTTCTTTAAATGACCCAAGTATGTGCTAATAAACTGGGGGAGTGGGGGGAATATACATTCCAGAAAGTTAGAAATGTTTTCTGTTAGTGATCCAGCACGTAGTGTGGTGTTTAAGGTGGCTAGATCCTACATGGTGGACTCTCCTGGACTCGCATATGGTGGACCACAGTTCGGATCCCGAAAAAAATAGTTAATAAAATGATACTTCATTCTGGGTCCAGTAGGTGGTGTGATGTTTAAGATATGGCCATTCCCTGGGGAGGGGGTGTGACTTTTTATTTTCCCTCTCTGTCTCTCTCCAGCAAATGCACATGCCCTAAATCAAAAACCTGAAAAAAAGAGAAGAAAGTATTTCAAGGAAGGTACCACATGGCTGTGATTAGTGGTTAATGGAAGCTGGATCCCACGTGGCTGACTATGGTTCAAGACCCAAACCCAGTGAATTAAAAAACACATTAGGAGAGGAAAGCAGGTGGCATGATGGTGAAGGTGCTGGACTTCCACATGACCAGTTGTGGTTCAAATCCCAGACCCAGTGGCTTGAAAATCATGCCAGGCAAGTGTGTGTGCATACCCAAAACCCTGAGAGGAGAACGGGAAAGGGAGTGATTTCTCACTTTCCCATTCTCTCTCTAGTGAATGCATGCACCCTGTAGCAAATACCTATAGCAAAACTAAACAAAAATACAGTAGGAGCATGTGCATGAGTGCCCCAATCACAACAGGACATAGGGATGAACAAGGGGTTATGGGATGACCACGCCCCACTGAAACATGCCTTCTGTTTTTCTCTTGTGAATGCATGTATCCTCTGGCAATCTTTAAAAAAAAAAAAAAAGGCAGTTCAGAATGCACTTTAAAAGAATAAGTTGCCAGAGGGCATCTGTGCTCAGCAGGGAGACAGAAAAGTGACAAAGTACCTCCTATGGGGGATGGTCAGACTGCAATCCTTTCTGTACCCTGGTGTGGGCACACGCACACACCCACACACATACACACATGCACACACCCACTCACCTGGTATGTTTTTCAAGCTGTATACATACACACAAGCAATTGATATGTTTTTCAAGCTATGGGGTCCAGAACCTGAACCACACCATCGTCCTGAGAGATCCAGCTACCTTAAACGCCACACCACTGGCTAGCCCTCAGAATGCTTTTAAACAAAAAAGTTTTTGATATAGGGCACATTTACTTGCCAGAGAGAGACACAGAGAGAGAGAGACTGAGACATCACTCCCAAAAGAATGGCCACTCTGCAATCCCTTCTCCTCCATTATCCTCTCAGGATTTTTGGGCATGCATACACAAATACCCAGCCATGATTTTTCAATCCACCAGGCCTAGGACTGGAACCATAGTTGGCCATCTGGGAGTCCAACACCTTAACCACCACACCACCTCCTGGCCCCAGAATGCATTTTTAAAAACACTTATTATGCCTGGAGTGTCCTGAGAGGTCAGACTGCCATCAGTCATGGCCCATGGACATGAACATAATCATGGTCATGGATACAGTAAAATGGAACTTCCAGATTATAAACAATAAAAGATAGCAGGAACAAGATTAGAAACTGTCCAAGAGAAGTTGGCTGCCTAAGGACTAAAGAGATCCATGGGGCCAGAATAAAGCTCAGAGATACATGGGTGGCTTTGCAAAAACTGTGTCCTTCATTGGTGCATTGTTAAAATAATTCAAGTGGGGATTTGCTGCATTTTTAGTAGCTATAGGAGCTGAATATTTCCTGGAGACCCAGAATAAAGATAAAAAGCGGGACCAGCAGATAGCGTAATGGCTATGTTGCTGGACTCTCGTAGTCGACCACAGCTTGAGTCCTGAACTGGGTGGCTTAAACTCAAGCCAGGGAGCAAGTGTGTGCGTGCCCAAGATCCCAAGAGGAGAATGGAGGAGAAGGGATTGCAGCGTGGCCATCCCCCCTTGGGGGGTGATTTCTCACTTTCTGTGTCTCTGTCTGTCTCTGTCTTTCTGGTGAAAGCATGTGCCCTATAACAAAAACGTCTCTCTCAAAAAAAAAAAAAAAAAAAAAAAACAAAAAAAGCAGAACAACAACAGCATAATTCACTTAGAAGATAAACTATCCCAAATGGAAAGCCCGAGATGATTTTTAGTAGCCACAAAATATTCCATCAACTGGGACCAGCAGTTAGCGTAATGGCTATGTCGCTGGACTCCCACATAGTCAACCATGGTTCGAGTCCCGGACCCAGTGGCTTAAACTCACGCTGGGCACGTGTGCGTGTGTGCTCAAGATCCCGAGAGGAGAATGGAGGAGAAGGGATTGCAGCGTGGCCACCCCCCCTGGGGGGGGATTTCCTGCTTTCTGTCTCTGTCTGTCTGGCGAGCGCATGCGCCCTATAGCAAAAACCTCTCAAAAAAAAAAAAAAATTCCATCAATACTTACTATAATTTGCATTCTGTTATTATTAGACAACACCATAGCCATTACACCAACTGTGGGTCCTAGTGGATTATGTTCTTTAGACTCTATCTCTACTGGTATTAATGCTCTACAAAGTTCTGTCTGAAAATCTCTTTATTTTGCTGTCATTTCTAAAGGATAGTTTATTGGGTATGTCATTGCAAAGTAGATAGCTGTTTTTTCTCAGTATACCTGAAGACAGCATTTCAATATCTTTTAGCTTCTGTCATTGCTGCTGGGAAATCCGTTTCCAGACTAAAGAAGAATATTTTTACAGCAATCTTGTTTCTCTCTAGCTGTTTTTAAGCTCTTCTGTCACTGACCTTCTGCAGTTTCACTCTAATTTGCTGAGACAAATTTTACTTCTCCCTCTTGAGATTCATTAGACTTCCATCACCTCTAGATTTTCCTTCCTTTCTTTCTTATCAATATTTCTTTTTTTCTTTTTTTTTGAGAGAGAGAGATTTTTGTTATAGGGCATGTGTACTTGCCAGAGAGACAAAAAGAGACAGAGACAGAAAGTGAGAAATCTCAAGAGGGGATAGCCACACCACAATCCTTTCTTCTCTCAGGATTTTGGGCACAGACACACACAAGC